TATGCTCTGAGCTCTGTATCATGTCCAATTATAATTAGCTTTGTCAGGCCTGAGCCCTACAACCCTCATGCAGATAATATGATAATATGTCTTCATAACCAAGTGACCTTACATGTGCAATATTTCTCTCCTTCTCAGGATTGCATGTCAATAAAGTAATGGAGTCTGGGAGGCAGTGGCAGTGGAAGATTTAGATGATTGGGCTCTCAGGTGCACTGATGTATAACCGTTGTTATTCTACCTGTCGGAGTTGTATACACAGCTGGGTACTGCATGGCCGTAGCCTGGCCCGGGCAGAGAGCCTGCTTTGAAAAGAAATAGAAGACGTGGCCATTTGGACTCTCTGTAAAAACAGATTTGACTGAGTCAGTAGTCACAATGTTGGGCCTCACAGTGGAAGAGTGGCTGGGGGCTCTGCCCCCCCCAAACTGGTCTGAGCCCCTGTAGTAACTGTGGGACGTTCTTTATGGAGTTTAAGGACAGATAGGATTTGATTCAGTGGTTCTCAAACGTATTATACTCAGTATTATACTACACCTGAGACATTAGACTGACCAACATTAGACTATAGCAGCATAGGCATTCACTCAGGAGCCTCTAGAGAGCGCTTGCGTACCACTGGTAGTACACGTACCACAGTTTGATAACCATTGATTTTGATTGATTAGGCAGTCTTTATTGACCTGAGGTTTGAATATGACTGTGGCCTTAGCAACAGAGGATAAATGTATGTAATATGGTTGGTTTAGTTTATATTTATTGTTACATTTTATGAAAAATGAATGTGTTTGTCGTGACATTAACAAAACTAATCCTAAGTGTTTGTTATTGTCCTTTTAGTTAATTAGGGTGTTTTATTAAATGTGTCGTTAAAACCAATAGCTTTAATTTGTTAGTCCACACGAGCTGTTGTTAAACAAACAAAAGGCAAAAATGATGATTCACCTTTTTGACTAGTTACTGTAATTAGCAGGTTATATTGGTAAATGTCTTGGTATTTAAAAAAACACGTAGACTCAGGGTTTTTATGTGTAATAAAAGTGCCAGTAAAGTAAAAAAAAAAAAATTTCTCAGCACAGAAAAAACCACAAACAAATAATTAGCACCTGTCTTCATGCCCACTATTTGTGAAAATACCCATTGATCCAGGGACAAATGTGACAGACATTTTGCAGGTGGAGACTTTTATTGCAGTGCAGCAGCTATTTTTCACTAGTGGCTTTGTAAAATTAATTAATAAGTGTTGCCAACCCCTCAGTCGCTTGCATTTGATTAAACCACTGCTTCTTACTGTACTGTAATTACAGTCTCATGTATCACAGGAGTACTCAGACTGTTGGTACCATTACACCTGGGATAAGGCAAAAGAGTGTTTTGTTGCAACATAGAATCTCCGAGGAAACTTGAGTTGTTACATGGTAACCTGAACAGTTCAAGGGACAACGTTTTTAATCACTGTTGCCCTCCTGGACGCAGGCTCCTATTGAATGACCATGTGTGTCAATCACATCCACTCACGTAAGCTGTCACTCTCCTTGCTTTATCGTTCATCTTCTTCTAAAGAGGGTAATCTCTAACAAAGTTGACATGGTCATCTATTGAAAAGATGGAGTAGACCACAAAGTCTTGCTCCCTTTTTAAATGGAAGCTGCTTGTGAAGTCGTGACAGGCTGTGGTCTCACTAACACTGACGCACCGTAATGAGGGAGCCAGAGGTGAGGCCCGTCTCTGCACGTCTGGGTGCATTTCCCTGAGTGATTGATGTGTTCCAGTCAAATGAAGCACTGGGCTGAGTGATATGACACTTGTCTCGCAGTGACACACGTGTTCACGGCTAACGGTTATTGGTGTTGATGGGCCCCACTCCACTCAGCCAGCCGAGCACAGTTATTTTGATCCCTTGTTCTTTTATTTCCGTCCCTCTCTTCTTGTTTTCCGTCTTCTTGCCACATTGAATCAGGGTTGGGAGATGGAGGCCGGACCCTCAGGTATTGGCTTATTAGGGATGAGAGGGGATGAGAGGAGTAATGGTGAGCAGGCAGCTGGTTGGGCATCAAACATCTGATGTGAAGGAGTATTATTGGAAATTCAATTCAGTCTGCTACATACATCCTGACTGATATAAATGAATTATTTTGAATTGTTATTATTATTATTATTATTATTTAGACAGGTATGTCCAAAATCTGGCCTATAACCTGATGAATAGTTATTAATCATGATCACAATAACAATTAATCACAATTAATCATTATTAATTACGATCCGTATTCATAAATATGACCAAAAATGTTTTTCTTTTCCTATATATTCCTGGAACATAAAGTAAAATAACGGCAAATAACAATGATGGAATTATCCAAATGGAAAAATTGACAAAAAAAATGCAAAAGTATACTTCGGAAAGTAAACATCATTCTGCTGATGTGTAACATTGAATTAAAATATTTGTATCTCAATATTTTAACATTCGCTAACAAGATTATAGTGTTCATTTCATCAGCACTAGTGTTATATATGAATAAATGTGTTTGTAAACGCACATGCTCCATCATCCAGAGTCACTGTAAACACAACCAAGTATTTACCCCCCCCCCCACCTCTCCCCCAGTGTCTGATAGATGTGGTCGTCAGTTCCAGTGGTCACAAGATGGTCACCATCAAACACTATCTGCTGCTGGTCTCTGTGACAGCTCTCATTATTGGGGCCCACAGAATAGTTACCAACTGATAAAAGCATATCACACTGTAGAGGAAATTGAATTCTGGAGGACATAAATTCTGACTGGGTGAGATCCTAGTCTGAGGCTAATTTAAGGCAGATTAATTTAATTTAACTGACACCCATTCTATCTCGAAGAAGTCGGTACATAGCATAACGTAGCCCTGTTGCCGTGTGATAAGAGGATAGTCGTTTTAGACCGGGCTCGGCAGCAGCTGAGGATCAAGCCCTAATCCCATTGCTGTAACCTCTTTTACTCAACATGGTGGAGGATGCAGGGTCTGACAGCCATTATTCAGCCAGGGGATTTTTAAAGTCTTTGGCTTCAGTCTGATCATTTAATTGACTGCTGACCTAAAGCCGCAGGACTACCTTCACAAAGAGACAATTTTCAATGTCAATATTCCATTTTTATTTAGACTGATGTCCAAATTGATGACTCTTTTTTTTTTCAGAAAATGTAGTTTTGTCTTGTATCTCCTGTTTTTGTAGCTGGTCTTCAAGTTTCTTCGACTGTATGATGACAAAGAAACAGATTATACACCCTGGGTTAGCATCCTGGATTAGTGTTCATTTAGTCTACCTATCTTTACAATGTATGTTAATAATTGTAATAAAAACAACAACCTACCTTTCACAAATGTATTCTTTAGACAAAAACATATCCTTACAGTGGTGGTCCACAGAGATAAGTATTTAAGTGGTGGTGGAATTGTTGCATACATTGAGCTCGTGAATCTGCCATAGGTTAAAATGAGTAAATATGTAATGTGATTAATCACAATGTGTATCATTACTCAGCCTCTAAAGCAATTATAATAATTTTTTGAGTTATTTATCACTGTGCAACATTATGCCTCACACCCTACAAAAACACACATTTTAAAGTAATGTTCTCCAAATTTTTCAACCTAAAAATACCCATCATCTTTTAAATATTTTTAAAATATATTTTTAAAATTATTTCTCTTTATTATAACATTGATGTTTGTAATTTATAATGTGTTGAAGAGTGATCTTAAAGTATATTGGCTAAACATCACTATAAATATATATGTGTGTGTGTATATATGTATACTGTATATATATATATATATATATATACGTATATACAGTATATGTGTGTGCAAATATATGTAAATAAATATATATTTATATATATTGTAGCCAATACACTTTAAGATCATTCTTCAACTCCTATATATATACATATAAATATACACATATATTTATATATGTGTATATATGTTTATATATGCATACGTATGTAAATGCTTGACATATGCAGCGGGTGCTATAGATGGGAGATATTCAAATCAAGCAGGAACTAGTGTATTGTTAAACATCATTCCAAATATATAAGTCAAGACCTCAAGGAGAATCTTTGCCCTTCTGATCGTGGATCATTTTTGAGACACAAAACGCCGTGTGAAGCAATTAATAATGTCTAATTTGCCTTTTCACTTCTACAATGTGTGTGAAAAATGGCCTTTATTCTCAAAAGAGAGTCCTTGTGGTTGAGCTGTCTAACTGGTTAATGAATCACAGATGAACACTGACGCAGATTAATCTCCCACAAGTCCCTGGGTAATATGGCAACCATTTAAAACTTTAATCAATAACTCTGAAGTTGAAATCATGCAGGCGCTGAGCTCATTTGGTCACAATAAACAGAATGCAGACTGCAGCCTGCTCTAAATTATGTTGACAAGCACAGTCACGCTAAATCACTGGAAGTGCAAAATAAATGTATGCATAAGTTTATCAGCCGTGCCTCCGTGTTTCCACTGGGAGAGGGAGGATATCAGCAGAAACAATAGTGGAAATGAAAGATTAATCATCTAAACTAATACCACCGTCCTCTCATATTGGCTGCTTCGGGTAATCTCCCATGAAATGTGTTCTGGATATAGGAACAGGAGCCTGAGTAACATTTCATTAACTATCACATGCATCAGTATTTTCTAAATGTCAGTCAGTTTTACCAAACATCTTCTCATATCTGTACGTGGTGTTTCTACCTTATATAAATGTAGAAAACACGTCACGTCCGCATTAAGAAGGTCACCGGTTCAAGCCCTGCTGGTAGCTCTTGGTATTTCTGGACGGTGTTTGTGTGGTTTTATGTGTTTGTGTGTGGCTTTCTTCCCACAGTCCAAAAATATGCTAATTGGAGATTAGGCTAATTGGACGATTTAAATGGACCATGATTGGTTGTTGTCTCTATATGTGGTCCTGTGATGGAGTGGCTAACAGATTGTTGTGTTCCCCACCCTAGGCTCACTGACTGCTGGGATTGGCTTCAGCTCCCGCCACACTGTGAAAAGGATTAGGTGATACAAAATGCATGGACGAAGGAAATCTCTTCAGCAGGTAATTAGTGTTTTCACATTTTATTGTTCAAAACATTTCCCAGTCCTGTGATTCCCTTGTAGCAGGTTAGAGGAAAAAGATATTCTTAAGTACTGTATGTTATGAAATATGTTTTGTGACATTTTAGCATTTTTCTCTTTTTAGTTTTATTGTTGCTGTTTTTGCTACAATTAACTACTTTGTTCATTTTCTTATGTTTTATATGCTACACTAATTTTAGTTAAGTCGAGCTAACTCTTACTTTTACCAAATAACATATATTTTCCTTCACTTTTATTGAAAAGAGCATATTTTAAACAATTTGAAATGTGTAATTTCAGCCGTTCTGCCTTTAGTACCACATAATTACTCTAGGATGATAGAAAAATTAAGAAAAAATTGTTTCATGAGATTAGCTTTAAGGCTACCTGTCGACCATTTGCAGTTTAATCCTGGGTCACGATGATGATTGTTTTATTGTTGCTGTTTTTGTTGCTGTTTTTGCTACAATTAACTACTTTGTTCATTTTCTTATGTTTTATATGCTACACTAATTTTAGTTAAGTCGAGCTAACTCTTACTTTTACCAAATAACATATATTTTCCTTCACTTTTATTGAAAAGAGCATATTTTAAACAATTTGAAATGTGTAATTTCAGCCGTTCTGCCTTTAGTACCACATAATTACTCTAGGATGATAGAAAAATTAAGAAAAAATTGTTTCATGAGATTAGCTTTAAGGCTACCTGTCGACCATTTGCAGTTTAATCCTGGGTCACGATGATGACCCTGAAAGGCTAAGAGCTCGGTGCGGCGTGAAAGTGTTCAGTACCAGTTCTTCCTGGTGATTTTATTGTCTCGACCGTGATGTCATGGATGATACATCTTCAGACGGTCATACGCGGCCTGGGCATGACCCCGTGCTGCGTTGTATAACCAGGGTTTTTATTAGAATGCAGGAGCTCACCGCCAATAGAAAACAAACAGTCTTTATTTGTTTCCTGTAACACACTGAAGCCGACGTGTGACTACATGTGCAGTATATAGTGTTTTAATTTGCTACTATAGCTTGTAGCCGGGGCCTCTCCAGTTGCCTGCAGACACTCATGAATGTCAGACTTTTTTTTTCTTTTTCATTTTACACTGATGCAACAGCATTTTATGACCCTCCTCTTCATCTTCCCAGTTCTCATGAATCTGGCCCTGATCCTCTTCTCAACTCCAGACAGATGATGTGCAGTCGCAGGCTGTGCACTTCCCTCATATGTCTCGTCCTCCCACTATCCCTTTCCTGTGCTCCATCTTTCAGAACTGTAACCTACAGTTGCCAGCTGTGCAGGGAGCCCCAGAGTGTATTTATGGAAAGCTGTGCTTTATCACATACAGCCGTGCAGCTGCCTACTCTTCTGGTAGTGCAGCCTTCCTGCCTCTGGCCATGTTTTTTTTTTTTTTGCTTTGGTGGTGGTTAGATCCCGCTCTGCTGCTGTTTCTTTCTCCCCAGCTGCTGCCCTGCTGGAAAGGAGGTGGGGTGAACTGTTAATGGCCTGTAGTCTGCAACCAGCAGTGCCCGCCACCGCCATTAGGACAGCGTACACAACCCCTTCTAGTGAAAACACCTTAACAAAAAACAACCGTTCAGAGTTTCAATGCTCCTCCAAGCATCTGCTAAAGCAATCACGTATGATTGTGGGTGTATTTCTCCGCGCCGGCCTCTTGTTGATATTTTGATGTGGTGTTAATTTATCTCCCTCATGTTTGGCTAGGTATGAGAGCGTAAATCTGTCGTCGACTGCAGGGGGCCTGGTGATGAGCTGCCTCCTCCTTTGCTGACCTCTTGTCCCCAGGTGGTCAGGGTGAAATACATTCTTCATATAGGGGTCCCCTGTGTCCTCACAGCCAATTGGGATGGAGGGCTCTACACTCCCTTTCCCCCGCTTGGCATATCAGGGGCCATACATCTTCTAGTGGCGCGGAGCTTTACGTAAGGTGACAGCTCCTCACACTTCAGTGTTCGGCTCACCTCGAGTCGCTCAGATATGTGGAATAAAATGAGCCCGCCGTGGTGATCGGATGAAGGTGGACCGAGTGTCCGCGGGCCGCCGCGCCCCATCCTCTCATCTTGTCAGAACAGGCCTGCTGGTAACTCTCCACACAAGACAGAGTCTGGAGACGCATCAGAAAGGAAAGCTGGCTGCAGACAGGAGGAGGAGGTGAGGGGGGGCTTTGATGCCATCGGAGGTGATGTCAACTTTGCTTAGACTCAAGGGTGGTGTTTGAATATGCCGGCCACTAATATGGCACCGGTATCTCTGTCCTCATCTCTGTCTTCTGTCTTCATGTACAACGTGGGCTGCTCTCCCCGGCTCCTGACAGCATCCTTTCACATCGTGTTATTGCATACACTGAGGCGCAGTCCGCAAACCATCACTCAGCTTTTTTGTTTGAAAGTCAGGCTGCTGTTTGCTGTTAATGCACTCGCCGCCTGTATTAAAGTGATGGGAATATGCTATCTGCTTTCCTGTCAGGAAATCATTGGCAGTGGAACTGGAATATCACTCACATGCTCGCTTTTTATACCGCCCAAAGCGGCAGTGAAAGACACGATATGACAAGTGGGATATTGCAGTGCGTAGACTTCAAATGCTGACAGAACCTGCTGCCTTCAACAACTCTTAGGAGTCTAGACTGTGTCTCTACTTTCTGTACAGAAGCAAAAGGTATGTATTTGTCTGTCTAAGGCAGAAATACACTTTTAATGGACACTACATTGACCATAGGTACAAGTGTGAGTGTGATTTTTTTTTTTTTTTGGCAAACCGTCCAATGTGCACCTTGACCTCACGCAGTCACTGCTGTGATTGGTTGAATCTCCTCTTGCAACCCTACGAAGAATTGAGCAGTAGAAGATGAATGGATTCCCATTGCTCTAACTCAGCAGAACGATCAGGACCCTTCTGTATCCCCACTGTTTGAACACTGTACTGAATTCCGCGGCGATGTGTTAAAACTCTCCTTCGATTTATTTGCTTGGTTGTCCACGGTGACTAAAATCAGCCATCACTTTAAAGGCACAGAGCAATAAGACACGGCCCTGCAGTGTCTTCGGCTGACTCTTCTGCCCCTGTCAAGTCCCCCTTCAGTCTGGAAGTCTGAGCAGTCGTGTTGAGGTTGACATGATTGCCTTTAAGCAGCCCCTCTTAGCCAGTGACACACAGCTGCAGTCAGGCACCTCCTCTGACAGTAAGAGCACCATGATGGATTGCCTTGCCAAAACTGCTGATCAAAGAAGGTCGGAGTTCAGATGTGTGTCTCGCTGCACTGGGCATGAGCAATCACCAGAGGTGAGGCTTTTTTTTTTTTTTTCGTTTCAGGATTAGTTGCCTGACTGAGCTGCACAATAATTATGTAAAAATAAATCTGTGCTTTGACATGGTAGGTTTTGTTACAGTGTTTTTGTGTTGTTTTTGGTGAACTTGGAGTATGGTAGGTTCAAAGACCTGAAATATTCTTAACATGAGTTTTGTCTTTTTGTGCTGTGTCCTGTATCCATTTTAAATGTTTCTGGCTGTCTGGTACCCACCCCCTTGAGGTAATGGCACCTGGTGCACCTACCCCCAAACAACGACCGTATCCCACCACCTCACTACCTGCTCTAACCACCATTCACCCCCACCCCATACGTGGAGAACGTTCACCAGTCAGTTAAAGTTTCAAACCCATGGCCTTCCAATTAATTTATGATGAATTGGAAGGTCATGTCTTTGTCTGTGATGTAAGAGATCTGGGTTCAAATCCACTAATGGCAGCTATGGCATGAAATTTCCTTAATTTTCCTCTGGGATCAATAAAGTATTTATCTATTTATATATGACGCTTTTCTTGTGAAGGACGTGGAGTGGATTGACCAAAGTGTAATCCACAAGAGAGGAACTAATTCTCTGCTTTTGTGATATATATATATATAAATCATGAACGATTGATGATGTAGAGCATAATAGCATATATATAGGTAAAGGTATACAGGTAAAGTAAGGCAAAACATATTTGCAAACATTATACAGTGACAATAAGCCTATATTTATGTTGATGTGTATAAATGTTTATTAAGCACATTTATCTGGATCCGTAGGATTTTTCTCTGTTGACTATATGAATTCTAAATATAAGCTAATAGTTGTAATGTATATTCTAATTATATTTATATCTGTTTATTTAATGTAGACGCACTCTCACTAAAATATGTCATGGCTGTATATATATATATATGCAGCCATGATATATATATATATATATATATATATATATATA